CTTTTCTTTCACCTCTAATAATTGGAATCATTGCCCTTTCTTTTGCTTTAAGCGATTAGCCAAGGTCTTTCAACGTTCTCCCAGTATCTCTGTTGTAGACATGTTAGCATAAATTCTGTCTGCTGTGATAATTCATATTTCTTTTTCTGCATTTCTCTGTACAAAATTATATTTTTAATCTTATTTTTGTATGATGTATAAGCAATAACTTGACCTCGAATGTATGCTTTATATGCTTCCCATTGAAAAATTTGGGCATCTGATGTTTCTAAATTCAAATCAAAATATTGTGGGGTTTCTACACACATTTGTTGCATGAATTCTTTATCATTCATTAGGGAAACACTGAAATACCAAAATTCATTTGAACCAAAATGGCCACACCTTTCGCTTTTGTCAAAGTATCTGTGAGGTGAACCTGCCCTACCCAATCCTTCATTAATAGATTTATCCTGTTCCGTTAAATGAGTCTCCTGTAGGTAAGCAGTATCTGCCCTTAATGATTTTAAATATGCTAAGATTACATTTTGTTTCTTAGATTCTCACAGCCCTTTTACAATGAGACTAACGAACTTCATCCATTAATTTTATTTTGGCCCACTTATCAATATTCTCCCAATACCAATTCATTTTATGATCTGTACCATTCAACAAATATCTGATAATAAACTTTTCTAAATATTTAACATATTTTCTAATATTGCTCAGACTTAGAACCTCCATAAAGACTCAATTTAGCATTCAAATACCATTCTATTACATATATCTAGAACCTATACTTAAAAGAAAAAAAAGAAAAACATGATTATGTGCAAGAAAATACAAGAACAAGCAAGTAACATTATTAAAGAGATTAAGAATCCTAAAAAAAAGAGATGAAAAATACAGGAGAGCTTCCCAAAGGGGATGGCACGGTGGCTTCATTTCTCTTCTTACAATGAAAATTACAAAACAGTTTCAAACATTACCAGTTGAAGGAAATGTATTGGGTGTTAAAGACAAACGGTAGAGTTGGGAGCATGCCAGACTTTCTATCTTGAAATTAATCAAAACATAAACAAAAAAGAGTGCAAAAAAAAAAAGTGCAGCCAAAGAGGCTTTTAAAATAAAGCCTCTACAGCAGAGCTGTGGGCAAACTCAAACTTCTCCCGCAGCAGATTCCGTGGAATGAAACACAATCAGGCTCGTCCATCAGCAGATTTTAAAGACAGGATGAAGAACCCAACTTCTGTGTGCTCATCTGGCCTCAGGCCTCTGCCTTGTCTCCGAGATAACCCTGGACTTAAGCTGCACCCTTCTACTGCCAGGATCTCTCTCCCACAGAGCCTCCAAAGAGCAGCAGCAATGTGGAAAGATCGCAAGAAGCCCCCAGAAGGGAGCTGGCCTCCTACCCTCTGCTTCCGGCTTGGGTTGGTTGTCACCTCCATAGCAAACCTTCGCAGCCTTTCCCTCACATCCAGTGGATAGTTCCTGTTCTTCACTCCGTCGGGACACAGGGATGCTGGAGGGGGATTCCTGATTGGGAAGAAAGCAGAGTGGGGTATGTCCTGCTCAGAGACCATTGAGCAGGCATACTTAAGGCCCCAGCCCTCCTTGTGCACGAGGCTGACCCTAACCCCCCTCCAAGGCATAGGTTCTAGGTGAATTCCCACCAGGTTCTCCCTCCATCATGCTGCTCCAAAGGATCCTAAAACCCGAGGCTAGAAAGTTAAGGTCAGCTGAGCCCATCGTGAATCATGTGATGCTTAAGGACGATGCTTTCCTAGCCCTGGATGTTCCAAGAGCAGCAAAGAACGCATCTCAAGTGGGATGGACGTATTGTTTGGCTGGCCCTCTGGAGCCAGAGAGAGACCAGCAAGTCAATGGCTGTGTGCTGAAACAGCACCCCACAAATCCCTGGGGCAGGTGGGTCAGCAGTAAGGCAAAGAGAAGCCAAGCGTCAACAAGGAAGTTCCTCCAGAAATGCCATCAGTGTGCGTGGCAGGAGCAGAGTTTAGGAAGAATGTTAGATATTCATTTCCATTTCCGAAGCAACTCAGGAGGTCCCGGCCAGGGGAAGAGGGGAGAGCCTTTCTAGAAGCAACTCTGCCTGGCTCCCCCCCCTCCCCTGGTCATCTGAACCCTGACTGTTGCCTTTCTCAAGTGTTGTGCCAAGGCTGCCCAGTTGTCCTCTGGTGGACTTCTCCTAGCAACATAAAGCAGGTACATCCCAGAACCCAGGGAAGCTAAGTGGGGTCTGCAGCGCCAGGTCAACATTCCAGAAGAGACTTCATCTTCACTTGTAACTACGCACTCAGCCACCCACCCAGCCCCTGCTCTTTGATCCCAACACCCTCTCCCTATACATGCTTCAGGGCCCCCACATATGCTTCAAGTACCTTTTACGGCACCTGTATTTCTGGACAGGAGTCAAGGAGGTCGTCTGCTGCTTCTCCATGGTCTTATGGTAGTGAATCTCATGCCAAAGCTTCACCAGCTGCTCTCTCTCTATTGCTGCGCAACCCTGAGACAAACAGGATGGTGCTTCCTTTTTCATACAGAACATCCTGCTTAAAGTAAACAATTCCCCACATCCCTTTCCAACCTATATCACAAATGTTCCCAACTCTGTCACCTGTGGCAGGGTAGACAGTGCCATGCTCGTCAATGGACCCACAGGCCCCTCCATGGGTATCCAGTGCATTTCCTTTCCCACAAAACTTATATTGACGTTTCAAAAATTAAATTAGAAGCTGGTGGGTAGCAAAAGTGCCAGCCTCTGCATGCTGTGGCCTGATTTTAAAAAGAATACCAGAAACACATCATTCTTGGAACTTTGTGGGATCTTTCCCAGAAAGTTAAGAGTAACCTGCAGTTCCACAGGAGCAATTTCTTGGCCAAAACCATGAAGAACACATCCCTACCTCCAGAAGTTTGCAGGCCATGTCATGCTGATTCTTCTGGAGATGGACCGATACAAATGCCTGGACAACCTGGAGACTGGTACAGAGGTGTGGCCAGTGCCTGCCCTGTACCATGGCTCTCACCAGCTTCTCCAGGCCAGCGGGGGAGTGCTGAAGACGCTGGCAAAGCCTTCCTGCCTCATCCCGCAGCTCGGATGGGGGGACATCCTGGAGGTCACTCTTCTGAAGCAAGACCATGAACTGCTTCATCCCTGCAGGCTTCAGGGTGCTTCTTCTGTGACACAGACAAGATTCTTAAGGGAGGGGGCGCTTTTTTCTATCAAGATGGAAATACCAGAAAGGAGCTGGTCCCCCAGGGTGCTCGGATGAGTTTAGCAAGCTCAGATCCTGACTCACTATCTCATCTCAAACATCTCCTTTATGGCTGTTACCAGAAAGAAGAAGGGAAACAAGGGCACGAAGCAGGAGTACTGAACGAGTTTCTCTTCCCCACACCCGAAGGGCTGCAAGATCCTCATTTCCAGTCAGTGGGTTGGCCTGTGCAGGGTTTTAGAAATCCAAGCGAAGTCACCCCTGCAAATTCTGATTGGCTCCTGGCTGAATTCCAAGGTTTTGGGGACAAGGGAAATGGGAGGAGGCGGGAGCACTTGGAGCCAGCCCTGTTGGGGTTTTGGCCTGACGGGGGGCGGGGGGCGGAGGGGAGTCCTTGCAGAAGGCTCCAGCTGGGGTTGAGGGGTTCTCCTACAACTCTGTGTCCAGGCAGCAGGGCCACGTGCAGCCTGCTGGCCTTCCTTGGAGGCGGCGGCTCGGGATGCTGTAACAGATCCCATTACTTAGGAAATACTTTGTTACTCATCTTAGCAGTGGTGTTTTTCCAGAACCTTGTGCTTGGCTATTATGTAGCTTTAGCAGAGCTGTCATGAAGCAATGGTTAGGTTAAGGTTCCCCCCCCAGCCCCTAACTTGTGGGGTACTGCAGGATCCGGTACTCTCTCTGCTCCTGTGTAACATCTACATGAAGCTGCTGGGTGAGGGCATCTGTAGCCATGGGGTGAGGTATCATCAGAACGCTGTGTATCTCCCAGCTGTGTATCTCCACCCCTGGCGAACTAAGCAGCGTTGCTGATGTCTTGTTGTCTGAAGGTG